AAAATTAAGATTGCTGGTTTCCTTATACTATGTAATAGGTGGAGGTACCTTTCGGTTTGAACCTTCACTTAGTGATAGTTGTATAGATCCGTGAGAGCTTGGTGGACTACGCCTTGAACCAGTCTCATTTATCGGATTTCTACAGAAAGCACACATAGTATAGTTTTGAAAAATTCTAAACGGATTGCGCTATTATCGACCTTGCGCAGGTATCTTTCATGTGTGTTACTAGGGGGCAGCCCTGATCCCATAGTCACAGCCTCACAACTACACACATATAGGTGAATCCTAATAAGGATGCGAGCAAGTAAGCATCATGCCTCATGCGTCTTGAATTCATTAAGAGTTTAACTCAACCTTTCACTTGCTTTTTATGAGCACTGATCATCCTAGGGATGTGAGCAAATAAATTCAGTGCTCCTCGTAATTAATCACTCGTCCAGTTTATTTCTACCCATTGAACCTCTGCGAAGTTGGGTTACCACTGCAGTGATTTTTTCTTATGGGCTTAATCCCATCCCCCTCGATGATTCTAGGACCACTGCCCTAGATAAGCCTTTAGTTAAGTGATCTGCAAGATTTTTCTCTAATCTTACAAAATCTAAGGCTATTACATGGTTTTTTATCTTATATCTCAAGGATTTATGTCGCACTTTTAAGTGTCGATTCATCTTCACATTTGCATTCTCTTGATGACATTTGTCAATCGCTGAGCTGCAATCACAATGAATAGAAATAGCTGGTAATGATTTTTGTATTAATGGATTTTCAGTAAGTAAATCTTTCAAACATTCAGCTTCTATACTAATAGTATCAAGAGCTATCATTTCTGATTTTATTGTACTTCTAGCCATTACAGTTTGTTTAGTAGATTTCCAGGACACGGCTCCTCCTCCTAAAAGGAACACAAAACCAGTGGTGGATTTTACATCTACTGACCATGAACTCAAAATGGCCACTATGTATTCTGAAAGCAATTTTTAGGATATCTGGCTCATGCATTCTGATTTGATGATAACCAGATTTTAAATCAAGCTTGGTGAAAATTTGTGTTCCATGTAGTTCATCCAACAGCTCATCTATGACAGAATGGGAAATTTGTCTTTGATTGTAGCTTGGTTGAGAGACCTGTAATCTATACACATCCTCCAACTACCATCAGATTTTTTTACATAACCACTGGTGAAGAGAAAGGACTATTTCTAGGTCTGATGATGCCCTTTTTAAGCATCTCTTCCATCTGTTTTTCAATTTCATCCTTTAAGACATGAGCATGCCTATAGGGTCTGATATAGATTGGTTTTGTTCCCTCTTCTAATGGAATTTTATGGTCTATATTTTTTCTAGGAGAAAGATGAGGTAGTTCTTGGAACACAACTTTAAACTCTTGTAACAACTCTTGCATGTTTGTAGGTAGTTCCTCAGGTGTACACTCTGTTGTGCACCCTTGTAAGCCTACACTGCACAGCTGAATTAGGAATCTTTGTTCCTGTTCTCTGAGTGTTTTGGCAATTTTTTTCCTGTCAACCAACTGTAATTCATCTGGAAGCACTCCCTGCAATGTATTTTTAACTCCATCATTCATGAATGTCACCTGTAATTTTTTTAAGTTCAGAGTAATATCCTCCAAGGTTCTCATCCAGTCAGCTCCTAATACAACCTGACTACCCCCCTTGAGCATGACCAACAAATTGATTTGAATGTTCACCCCTTGGCAATCTAAGGGCACTTCTTGGCACACTCCACCCTCTTTAATTAACTCCCCACTGGCCACTAAGACATCAAAAATGTTGGATTCTGTCACTGTTATCCCCAGTTTCTTAACTAGTTTTGCATTAATAAAATTATGTGTTGATCCGGAGTCTATTAGGATGCTAACAGTTTGATTTTTGTAATAGCCTATCATCCTAATTGTGTGGGAAGTAGTGATTCCACTGAGGGCTTGTACTGAGATAGAGGGAGCTCCTTTCACCAAGCTCCCTCAATTGCCATATGATCTTCTCCTCCCTCTCCAGAGTCAACCTCACTCCTTTCCATGTCACTTTCTAGGATTCCCTCCAAAACAAACAATTGTTTCCCCTTGCATTGATGTCCCCTTTGCCATTTCTCATCACAAGTAAAACATAAGTTTTGACTCCTTCTTCTTTGTATATCATTGGTGGTAAGTTTTTTGAATTGAGGAGAGGGATGGGGGTGCTCTCTTACAGGAGGATTGTGAGATTGGTTCATTGAAGGACCTCCTGGGTTGAAAAAATTTTAGTTCCCCTTGGATTTCTTTTCATTTTTCTGCTTATCTTCAAACAATTTTGCTAAAGATACAACTCCCCTCAATGAAGTGGTCTAGCAGTTGCAACTTCATACTTTAGTTCATCTTTAAGCCCCCCTATGAATCTCTCAAGAATGTGCCTTCTAGAGGGTTGGTCATCTAGCAGGCCTAATACTTGTTCAAATCTTCCCAAATACTCCCTAATTATAGAAGTCTGTTTCATGGTGGAGAAAGCATCATAAGGACTTGAGAGCTCACTAGGACCAAATCTGGTACTTAATTCCTCTCTAAAAACAGCCCAATGGTTGTAATTTTTAATGTTTCTAGTAAGTCATCTATACCATTGTAAAGCTTCATCCCTCAAATAGAATGAACAAACCTTGACCCATTCATCATCTTTGATCTATACCATTGTAAAGCTTCATCCCTCAAATAGAATGAACAAACCTTGACCCATTCATCATCTTTGATATCATAATAATCAAAGATTTTCATCCCTCAAATAGAATGAACAAACCTTGACCCATTCATCATCTTTGATATCATAATAATCAAAGATTTTTTTCAGTTTGTTCTAACCAAGTTATTACATTCTCAGCACCAGAGAAAGAGGGAAAATCTAAACATAGGGACTTCGGTTGAACAAGTTTTTGATTGCTAAAGAAAGAATTCCTTTGAGTTGAGAGGTTACCAAAATTGTGAACAGGTTGAGATTCTCCATTGAAGTCATCATTCCTTCGATTTTGAGTGAGGTAATCATTATTGCAATCATTCTTGCTTGATTCTTTAGCTCCTGATCTTGATATTTCTTTGTCCCCTCTTGATCCTGAACTCAAGATCCGATGATCGCCCCTTGGTCCAGAACCCAAGATTCCTTGGTCAGGATTCCTCAAGTTCTTGAACTCCTGAATCAGAAACTCCAATTTAGAGGAGAGCTCACCCATTTGTGCCGAAATTTGTTGATTGAATGAACTCTGTTGTCGATTGAATGAACTATTTTGAGCAACTGCATCCTCTACTCGAGAAAACCTCTCATCTGGAATCGCCTCGTCAGCAGAAGCTTCTTCTTGATCGGCCATGAAATCTCCAGCTCCAGCTTCAGATTCTTGTTACTCTGATACCAATTGTGAGGCTCGTGAGCCTCTGTTCATCTTCCTGAACCCATCCCTGGCCATGGCTATGACTTTGATGAAGCTTGAGAGAAAATAGACAGAGAATTGAGAAGATTTGTAAACTGAAAGGAAGAAGATTTCTATTATTCAACTTGTATTCTAATCTTTACATCTTCCTATTTATACAATCTCAGCTCAAGAATTCAATCATGTGCACGAACAGTGATGTGCACAAACAGAATTAACAAAAAAAAAACAGCAACAACCACTATTTGTTAACTAAAATATCTAAGCATTTATTACAAGCCCTTGAACTTTGAAAGTCTTGCACGATAGCCCTTACCTTTTGCGTATCAGTCCTGAACTTTGTGTATCAGTCCAATAGCTTCCAAATCTTCAACTTTAGCTTCCAGGTTCTCATCTTCAGCTTCCAAGCTCTCATCTCCCAAGGCTCTTGACTCACTCGACTAGTTCCCATCAGCTCTTGATAGCATCACCGTTAGAACCTCCGACTGAGAAACCACGTAAGGAGGAGAAGGAGAGGAACGAGGCCCACGTGATAGAGGAAACAAGGTGGGGTCCTCAGCTCAGAAAGTGCCCGTTGAGCCTCACAATGGTGGGATCGAGCCCTAGAAACCTCCCGGGAGTGCCAAGGTCAACTACGCCGTCGCCGGAGACGGGTGAATTGACGGCAACGGGGTCTCGACGGCTGGTGACGGTGAGCTTGATGGTTCTCGACGATGAATTCAGCATTTGAAAAGAGAAGAGAGAGAATTGACGATTGAGAATTGAGGGTCTGGTTTCGTTTTTTTTTTTAATAGATAGATAGAGGAGACTTCTAGAGGGGCGGGACTCTGAGGCGTCGAATGGGAGTTTAAAACAACATTATTAAAAGGGTTTTTTTTAAATAACCCAATCCCAAATTTAATCCCAAAAATCGAGTCTATCTAGTTTTTTTTTTAAATTTCAAAAATCGATCTAGTTTCGGTGACGTCAGCATCGTAGCCAGAAATTGATTCGTTTAAAAAAATGAGATCTCCTAATTAGGAGCACTCTAATTGTTGTCGGGATTAGCAACCCACTTAGGGGGCGTCTTAGGACCAACCTATACGGGGTTGCAAACCCCGACCAAAATGAATGGGGTTGGCAGCCCCATTCATTTAGTAGACTTTGTTCACAGAGAGAACCACCTACTGGTAGAGAGCACTTCTGGGAAAATCTCCTAGACCAAAATTGTCGGGTTTGGCACAAACTCTCATGCTACACATATATCAATCGTTAATCAATTTTAATCACAAATAAACACATATCTTTATATCTATATTACATCTATAACCAATTTCAAACACAAACAATAGTTGACTTAGGGCTTGTTTGGATTGAGGGGAATAAGGGTGAAGGGAAGTTAGGGGAACCATTCACCTTGTTTGGAAACATTTAGGAGGTGAAGTTATTCACCCTAGTTCCCCTTGGTTCACCCTCTAATAGTATAAAATTTGTTAGCCCTCAAATTGGGGTGTAACCAAGGGGAAGGGAACTCCCGAACTCCCTTCCCTTCCCTTCCATTCTCTCACCTAGTTTCCCTTAACTTCCCTTAACCCCATTGAAATCCAAACACACCCTTAGTAAAATTTCAATCATAAACACTTAGTCCAACTAGCATTTCAAACATAAACATCATAAAACAAGCAATATCGAAAATTAGCAAACATATAGAACTCTCTTTCCTCTCACTTTCTCTCTTCTTCCTCTCCATCGTCCACGTTCACCTTCAACACGAGCTTGGATGATCTCATCATCTGGTTGTGTGTGAATTTGTGAGCGCGTGACATTCTCCTCGACTTAAACTTACTGTGAACATCCGGCTTGAACCTGCTGTGAACATCCGTCTTGAACCTGCTGTGAACATCCGAGTTCGTCATGTGCACGACTTGAGCCCGTCCTGGTGTGTCCTCGCAACCGTTGACGCTCGTACCCTATGAGTTCTTCTTGACGTCCATCACGATTTGCGTGAAGTGTCTTTCTAAGAGCAGATTGAATCTTTACTATGATGCGAATAAATGCATTCCTTGCCCCTTGCTCGGTAGTCGATCTCAATGCATCATGGACAATAGAAACAACCTTAACGAGTCTTCTACCTATAAGATAAAAATTAGAAGAAGATTATTAGCAATTGGATGATAATAAAAATAATACACAAAATAGTTGTTTATTTTGCCTATCTAGTTACTAACTCTCACTCAATTGGTCCCCTCGGTATATACGCCTTAGGTGCTTTGTTCTCTCGATATATCCATCGGCTAGTAATCCCCCAATACAAACGTAAGTACACATCTAGTTCTGGTGCGTCACCTTTCTCCATCACTACAACATCCTCTCTCAACTCCCAATTCTTAATATAAGATTGACGAATTATCTCCCAATTTTGACGATGTGCTCCTTTTTGGGGATTTCGCTCTATTCTTTCTACAGGATATGGAATATGTTATTTTAATCCAAATTGTCGAAGCACGCGATTGGGCACATGTATTTTGACAAACTCAAAGCATATAATCGGGACTCGGGCACGCCATATATTTTCACCATCTCTACAAATATCCGGTAGTGAAGCTAAAACCAGTTCATAGGGCATCCACTTGACCTATAAAGAAAAGGATGCGAGCAAGTAAGCATCCTGCCTCATGGGTCTTGGATTCATTAAGAGTTAGACTCAACCTTTCACTTGCTTTTTATGAGCACTGATCACCCTAGGGATGGGAGCAAATAAATTCAGTGCTCCTCACAATTAATTACTCATTCAGTTTGTTTCTACCCATTGAACCTCTGCGAGGTTGGGTTGCCACTGCAGTGATTTTTCTTATGGGCTTAACCCCATCCCCCTCGATGATTCTAGGACCACTGCCCTAGATAAGCCTTTAGTTAAGTGATCTGCAAGATTTTTCTCTAATCTTACAAAATCTAAGGCTATTACATGGTTTTTTATCTTATATCTCAAGGATTTATGTCGCACTTTTAAGTGTCGATTCATCTTCACATTTGCATTCTCTTGATGGCATTTGTCAATCGCTGACCTGCAATCACAATGAATAGAAATAGCTGGTAATGATTTTTGTATTAATGGATTTTCAGTAAGTAAATCTTTCAAACATTCAGCTTCTATACTAATAGTATCAAGAGCTATCATTTCTGATTTTATTGTACTTCTAGCCATTACAGTTTGTTTAGTAGATTTCCAGGACACGGCTCCTCCTCCTAAAAGGAACACAAAACCAGTGGTGGATTTTACATCTACTGACCATGAACTCAAAATGGCCACTATGTATTCTGAAAGCAATTTTTAGGATATCTGGCTCATGCATTCTGATTTGATGATAACCAGATTTTAAATCAAGCTTGGTGAAAATTTGTGTTCCATGTAGTTCATCCAACAGCTCATCTATGACAGAATGGGAAATTTGTCTTTGATTGTAGCTTGGTTGAGAGACCTGTAATCTATACACATCCTCCAACTACCATCAGATTTTTTTACATAACCACTGGTGAAGAGAAAGGACTATTTCTAGGTCTGATGATGCCCTTTTTAAGCATCTCTTCCATCTGTTTTTCAATTTCATCCTTTAAGACATGAGCATGCCTATAGGGTCTGATATAGATTGGTTTTGTTCCCTCTTCTAATGGAATTTTATGGTCTATATTTTTTCTAGGAGAAAGATGAGGTAGTTCTTGGAACACAACTTTAAACTCTTGTAACAACTCTTGCATGTTTGTAGGTAGTTCCTCAGGTGTACACTCTGTTGTGCACCCTTGTAAGCCTACACTGCACAGCTGAATTAGGAATCTTTGTTCCTGTTCTCTGAGTGTTTTGGCAATTTTTTTCCTGTCAACCAACTGTAATTCATCTGGAAGCACTCCCTGCAATGTATTTTTAACTCCATCATTCATGAATGTCACCTGTAATTTTTTTAAGTTCAGAGTAATATCCTCCAAGGTTCTCATCCAGTCAGCTCCTAATACAACCTGACTACCCCCCTTGAGCATGACCAACAAATTGATTTGAATGTTCACCCCTTGGCAATCTAAGGGCACTTCTTGGCACACTCCACCCTCTTTAATTAACTCCCCACTGGCCACTAAGACATCAAAAATGTTGGATTCTGTCACTGTTATCCCCAGTTTCTTAACTAGTTTTGCATTAATAAAATTATGTGTTGATCCGGAGTCTATTAGGATGCTAACAGTTTGATTTTTGTAATAGCCTATCATCCTAATTGTGTGGGAAGTAGTGATTCCACTGAGGGCTTGTACTGAGATAGAGGGAGCTCCTTTCACCAAGCTCCCTCAATTGCCATATGATCTTCTCCTCCCTCTCCAGAGTCAACCTCACTCCTTTCCATGTCACTTTCTAGGATTCCCTCCAAAACAAACAATTGTTTCCCCTTGCATTGATGTCCCCTTTGCCATTTCTCATCACAAGTAAAACATAAGTTTTGACTCCTTCTTCTTTGTATATCATTGGTGGTAAGTTTTTTGAATTGAGGAGAGGGATGGGGGTGCTCTCTTACAGGAGGATTGTGAGATTGGTTCATTGAAGGACCTCCTGGGTTGAAAAAATTTTAGTTCCCCTTGGATTTCTTTTCATTTTTCTGCTTATCTTCAAACAATTTTGCTAAAGATACAACTCCCCTCAATGAAGTGGTCTAGCAGTTGCAACTTCATACTTTAGTTCATCTTTAAGCCCCCCTATGAATCTCTCAAGAATGTGCCTTCTAGAGGGTTGGTCATCTAGCAGGCCTAATACTTGTTCAAATCTTCCCAAATACTCCCTAATTATAGAAGTCTGTTTCATGGTGGAGAAAGCATCATAAGGACTTGAGAGCTCACTAGGACCAAATCTGGTACTTAATTCCTCTCTAAAAACAGCCCAATGGTTGTAATTTTTAATGTTTCTAGTAAGTCATCTATACCATTGTAAAGCTTCATCCCTCAAATAGAATGAACAAACCTTGACCCATTCATCATCTTTGATATCATAATAATCAAAGATTTTTTTCAGTTTGTTCTAACCAAGTTATTACATTCTCAGCACCAGAGAAAGAGGGAAAATCTAAACATAGGGACTTCGGTTGAACAAGTTTTTGATTGCTAAAGAAAGAATTCCTTTGAGTTGAGAGGTTACCAAAATTGTGAACAGGTTGAGATTCTCCATTGAAGTCATCATTCCTTCGATTTTGAGTGAGGTAATCATTATTGCAATCATTCTTGCTTGATTCTTTAGCTCCTGATCTTGATATTTCTTTGTCCCCTCTTGATCCTGAACTCAAGATCCGATGATCGCCCCTTGGTCCAGAACCCAAGATTCCTTGGTCAGGATTCCTCAAGTTCTTGAACTCCTGAATCAGAAACTCCAATTTAGAGGAGAGCTCACCCATTTGTGCCGAAATTTGTTGATTGAATGAACTCTGTTGTCGATTGAATGAACTATTTTGAGCAACTGCATCCTCTACTCGAGAAAACCTCTCATCTGGAATCGCCTCGTCAGCAGAAGCTTCTTCTTGATCGGCCATGAAATCTCCAGCTCCAGCTTCAGATTCTTGTTACTCTGATACCAATTGTGAGGCTCGTGAGCCTCTGTTCATCTTCCTGAACCCATCCCTGGCCATGGCTATGACTTTGATGAAGCTTGAGAGAAAATAGACAGAGAATTGAGAAGATTTGTAAACTGAAAGGAAGAAGATTTCTATTATTCAACTTGTATTCTAATCTTTACATCTTCCTATTTATACAATCTCAGCTCAAGAATTCAATCATGTGCACGAACAGTGATGTGCACAAACAGAATTAACAAAAAAAAAACAGCAACAACCACTATTTGTTAACTAAAATATCTAAGCATTTATTACAAGCCCTTGAACTTTGAAAGTCTTGCACGATAGCCCTTACCTTTTGCGTATCAGTCCTGAACTTTGTGTATCAGTCCAATAGCTTCCAAATCTTCAACTTTAGCTTCCAGGTTCTCATCTTCAGCTTCCAAGCTCTCATCTCCCAAGGCTCTTGACTCACTCGACTAGTTCCCATCAGCTCTTGATAGCATCACCGTTAGAACCTCCGACTGAGAAACCACGTAAGGAGGAGAAGGAGAGGAACGAGGCCCACGTGATAGAGGAAACAAGGTGGGGTCCTCAGCTCAGAAAGTGCCCGTTGAGCCTCACAATGGTGGGATCGAGCCCTAGAAACCTCCCGGGAGTGCCAAGGTCAACTACGCCGTCGCCGGAGACGGGTGAATTGACGGCAACGGGGTCTCGACGGCTGGTGACGGTGAGCTTGATGGTTCTCGACGATGAATTCAGCATTTGAAAAGAGAAGAGAGAGAATTGACGATTGAGAATTGAGGGTCTGGTTTCGTTTTTTTTTTTAATAGATAGATAGAGGAGACTTCTAGAGGGGCGGGACTCTGAGGCGTCGAATGGGAGTTTAAAACAACATTATTAAAAGGGTTTTTTTTAAATAACCCAATCCCAAATTTAATCCCAAAAATCGAGTCTATCTAGTTTTTTTTTTAAATTTCAAAAATCGATCTAGTTTCGGTGACGTCAGCATCGTAGCCAGAAATTGATTCGTTTAAAAAAATGAGATCTCCTAATTAGGAGCACTCTAATTGTTGTCGGGATTAGCAACCCACTTAGGGGGCGTCTTAGGACCAACCTATACGGGGTTGCAAACCCCGACCAAAATGAATGGGGTTGGCAGCCCCATTCATTTAGTAGACTTTGTTCACAGAGAGAACCACCTACTGGTAGAGAGCACTTCTGGGAAAATCTCCTAGACCAAAATTGTCGGGTTTGGCACAAACTCTCATGCTACACATATATCAATCGTTAATCAATTTTAATCACAAATAAACACATATCTTTATATCTATATTACATCTATAACCAATTTCAAACACAAACAATAGTTGACTTAGGGCTTGTTTGGATTGAGGGGAATAAGGGTGAAGGGAAGTTAGGGGAACCATTCACCTTGTTTGGAAACATTTAGGAGGTGAAGTTATTCACCCTAGTTCCCCTTGGTTCACCCTCTAATAGTATAAAATTTGTTAGCCCTCAAATTGGGGTGTAACCAAGGGGAAGGGAACTCCCGAACTCCCTTCCCTTCCCTTCCATTCTCTCACCTAGTTTCCCTTAACTTCCCTTAACCCCATTGAAATCCAAACACACCCTTAGTAAAATTTCAATCATAAACACTTAGTCCAACTAGCATTTCAAACATAAACATCATAAAACAAGCAATATCGAAAATTAGCAAACATATAGAACTCTCTTTCCTCTCACTTTCTCTCTTCTTCCTCTCCATCGTCCACGTTCACCTTCAACACGAGCTTGGATGATCTCATCATCTGGTTGTGTGTGAATTTGTGAGCGCGTGACATTCTCCTCGACTTAAACTTACTGTGAACATCCGGCTTGAACCTGCTGTGAACATCCGTCTTGAACCTGCTGTGAACATCCGAGTTCGTCATGTGCACGACTTGAGCCCGTCCTGGTGTGTCCTCGCAACCGTTGACGCTCGTACCCTATGAGTTCTTCTTGACGTCCATCACGATTTGCGTGAAGTGTCTTTCTAAGAGCAGATTGAATCTTTACTATGATGCGAATAAATGCATTCCTTGCCCCTTGCTCGGTAGTCGATCTCAATGCATCATGGACAATAGAAACAACCTTAACGAGTCTTCTACCTATAAGATAAAAATTAGAAGAAGATTATTAGCAATTGGATGATAATAAAAATAATACACAAAATAGTTGTTTATTTTGCCTATCTAGTTACTAACTCTCACTCAATTGGTCCCCTCGGTATATACGCCTTAGGTGCTTTGTTCTCTCGATATATCCATCGGCTAGTAATCCCCCAATACAAACGTAAGTACACATCTAGTTCTGGTGCGTCACCTTTCTCCATCACTACAACATCCTCTCTCAACTCCCAATTCTTAATATAAGATTGACGAATTATCTCCCAATTTTGACGATGTGCTCCTTTTTGGGGATTTCGCTCTATTCTTTCTACAGGATATGGAATATGTTATTTTAATCCAAATTGTCGAAGCACGCGATTGGGCACATGTATTTTGACAAACTCAAAGCATATAATCGGGACTCGGGCACGCCATATATTTTCACCATCTCTACAAATATCCGGTAGTGAAGCTAAAACCAGTTCATAGGGCATCCACTTGACCTATAAAGAACATTACGAAAATTTACATATTAGTAACATATGATATAATGCTTGAATATAACTAGATATTATGATTTTATACATGTTCATCCTCCATTTGATCAAGTTCGCTCTGTAAAAAATTTCATAACCCTTTGGGAGCTTTGCTAATATCTGGAAATATTACATCTATTTGATATCTAAATGTTTAATATAGATTAAAATAAATGTATCAAATTACATGTAGTCATAAATATTAAAAATACATATTAAAAACTCATATACCTACATCCTAATAGAATTTGACCATCGAGAACTCAGGCCTCCTTCAAATCTGGTGTTCCCAAATTATCCTAGAGATCTTTGCGAACTTCCTTGTTGGATTTCGACCACAAAAATGGGTTTGAGGGACTCGGGTTGGTGGAGGAGAATGAGAGACCAGAGGTAGAGAGAGAAAGAATCGATACTATGAGGGAAGTGGGGGATCGGTTGGTATATAAAAGTGGGTGTGCCCTATCATAAATAGTCGGGCTTGGGAACCCCAACTATTTGGTCCCTTAGCCGACTCTGAATCTTCGATCGAGTGGGGGGGAGTTTGGGGAAAGTGTCTGTCAAATGATCGAGGTTGGCAACCCTAACCATTTTGGTCAAGGTTAGCAACCCCGAAGAGTTTGGCCCCCTAACCCCTCTAATTCTAGTTGCTAATATTGCGAGGAATGAGAGGTGTTCCTAATTAGTTGGGTTTGCATATTCCCACTAATTAGGAATTTTCTTTTTGTTTAAACGACCCAGGTTATGGCCACGATGGTGACGTAGCTAGAAACTGGATCGATTTCAGTAATAAAAACTAAAAAGGGTCGCTTTATGGGAATAAATTTGGGATTGGGTCTATTTTAAAATTTCTTCTTATCAAAATTTCTATTAGGTCCTATATTACTAGCTATTCTGCAATCAGTCTCTCAAAACATAGAAATTGCCATTAAGTCCCTTAATTTTCATAACTTATCTCAAATTAATCTATCCAACTGCAACTTCTACTTTTAGGTTGGTAACTTGGTCTAATAGGAGGCAAAAGAAGCGAAGGAGATGTAGGACAGGGTACAAGGAAGGACATTCTTTGTGTTTTTTGTTTTCTTGGGAGGAAGGAAGAGGGGAGCAGTGGCGGAACCAAGATTTTTTTAGGGGGTCAAAATGCAACCGCTATACTATAAATTGATCAAAAAGTGATCAAATATTAATAATGCATAATTAACTATACATCAAATCTGAAAACTATTGGTAGACCGCTGAAATTTAATTTTTTTTCAAAATTAATCCATAGCTTTAAATAATTGTAAAAAACACCCTCAAAATTTCATAGTTGTAAGAAATATACCGACATTTAAAAAAATTACCACCAACACATGAAACATAGAAGTTACAACTACTAAACTTAAAAGTAATTTTTTTTAAAAAAACTCTCCCAAAGTTTTAAAAATTATAAATCACACCCTCAAAGTTCAAAACCACAAAAAAGGGCTGAAATTTTAAAACTTGGCAAAGAAAATTATAATTGTTTGGTATTTTATATATATATA